CCTTTTCTCGTTCTCGCTTTGTTACTACAGTTATTGTCTTTTAAGTTTAGTTTTAATGTAATATTTCAAAGACAAAAGCTAAAATTGAGTTCCTTTTCAACAGATAACGTTGTTTAAAAACAGTGATGGAAACGTGTTATTGTTAGAAAATGATAAGAAACAAGTAGATTTAAAGTATATTCAAGTAAACATTTAATACTTTTTTAAATTGATTTATATATATTTAATAAATCGTTAATACGTAGAAGATAACTTTTACAGAGTTAAGTTCACCTTTGTACGTTTGTTTTCGACATTAGATATAAAGATATGTACATATATAATTTATTTGTATCACTTATGTACAGCACACAAATAATAATAGATACACAAAAAAAGAGAAAAAAAATATACATACAAAAAAAAAAGGAAAATACATAGAAGTAATTTTTTTTTTTCGCATTGTTACTATAGTAACTCAAAATGGTCACAACTTAGTTAATTGCTTTACCGTTAAAAGAGCAAAACAATGATTGTTCGTTGTAGCCAGGAGCCAGTCACGAAATTCCTTAACAAAAAGAGAATAAAAATAAATAAAATAAATTGTGTGTGTCCATTACAATTATGATTATTTGATATAAATTAATAAATAACAGATATCATTATAAGAGAGGCAGTCAGAGGTCACAAACAAGCACTTCAGCGATAAATATTTCCTCTACATACCCGTTAGGTATGCCAACTTTTTGTTTATTAATTAAAATGGGGTATAATGGGCGAAACAGTATACTCTGTTATGTCCATGGTACTGCTCATGTCTATAGGCGACGGTTACCACTTTCCATCAGGTGGGCCGTCAGCTTGTTTGCCATTCTAAGTTGTATAAAAAAAAGCTTTTAAGTTTTCTTTTAAAAATATTTTTAGTTTCAGACGATCTTATCACTAATAATATACCATTATTCGAGCATTTCATAGCATAGATAGCGAAAACTTGCCTCGAAGTCTCTGTTCTATGGGAACGACCTACTAATAAGTACGCGCGGGGGGTTAGTACTATGAAACTGTACTATGAAATGAACTAAATTACAATTTGAAAAATAGATGATTTGGTCGATACTTCAAAATATCATACACCATAGAAACGAGATGAAAGTTTCTCCGAGAAATCATGTTTAAAGTAGATTTATTGTTAAATGTGCGTTCTAGATGGAATATTGTAAACAAAATCTACAACATGCATCTTGCGTTCGCTGTATAAGGCGCTGAGTTTTCCAATATAATTGAGGCCCATACACTGTATGTGCCTATATGCAATATCGGCACGTACAATCTACATAAATATACAAATAAATAATAAAATACATACATAATGTTTTTACCAAAGTTCTCTAGAGCATCAGATTCGTTTACAAAAACCAACATTAAGTAATCACGTAATCAGTCTGTTATAAATAAACACTAATAAGGTTAACAAGACGTAAGAGCCGAGCAGCACCTGCCTACCCCGGCGGCACACACGACTACATGTGAGCATTGTTTAGACTATACCCAATTTATTCCTTAGAAGCACTATTTTTAGCCAAACAGTTTCCTGTTCGCTCGCCCACGCATTTTATCTATTTTGGCTAACTAATGTATTACTCTCTTCTAAGTACAATTCTTGGAACGTGTTTCAGTAGATAGTTTTCCGAACGTTCCACTCACTAGTTGAACTTAAATAAACATAATATTTTGTATTTATTTTTAAAAACTTTGTACAGTGTAGTCTGCATTCGAGATACATATCTTCGGTGCCAGGTTTAGGAATTTTGCCCCGCTGGGTATTTACTTACTCTGCCAATAAATTGAGCTTGTTTCCTTGTTAAGACAAAAACGTATTTTAAATAGGAGAAAACATCTTTTATGTACCGTTTTGAAAGAGGACCTAAAGATAACATTATTTCACAGAGTTATGATTTCGGTTTACTCGCCGGGATTCTACATAAGTTCTTGAAGACTTAGCTGATAAATTTATTGACTTGTTATGTTTTACAACTTTTTCAAGTAAAACACTAGCGCTGACGTTCTTTTTTGTACAACTTGGAATGGAAATTGACAGCTCACCTGATGATAAGTGCTAATCTGCGTGACGTAATGTGAACAAAACTATAAACATATCTAATTGAATATATTGTATATACACCCACACAGAGGTAGTCATGCAGATGGCTATTGAAGAAAGTCGTATTGGTCGCGCAATTTATTTGTAATATGTAGGACATTCAGTTGTCGTAAAAAATTGTTCATTAGTAGTATTTAGTACTAATCCTGACACTTGCTACTGTACGTTAGTGTTTTTTTTTTGACGCGACACGAAATTTGATGAGACTTGAGTAGAAATCTATAAGACGTTAATATAATAAAAAAAAAAAAGTTTACTATATTTTTATCGCTTCTTAATTCTACTACTCGTCGTATAAACTAATCACAGTAGTGTAGTTTTCTATTTATATTGCGTTTAATGTAACGAGATTTCAGAATAGATAACTCTAAAGTCATTCTGTCTTTATTGTGTTTATGGTATTCTAAAGTATTACCTATAAATTGTTATGATTGGTGCATACAGGCGACAGTAACAAGTTATCGAACAGAGCTTATACGATCCGATACGAGGGAATAAGTAACAATTGATTGCATGTGCACCGTATTATGAGGATGTATGCCTTCTGCACCATCGCCGCCGCCGCCGCCGCCGCCGCCGCCACCGCCGCCGGTTGAGCGACGCGGCCGGCCGAGCGGAAGACGCGGAGGACGCGCGGCCTTATCGAGCTGAACACTCGCGCCGTCCGCCCTCCCCGCGCCGCCGCCGCTCGACCATTTCCCCGCGCGAATTTACAATGTACCCCGCCCCCCCGACCGCCGCCCCACACCGCGCTCGCCGCCCGTCCGTGCACACCACCGCGGCGCGCTGCCTCCGAAACGTACCCTCCGACCTCCCCGATAGAGTCGCGACTCGTCCGGCTGCACTGCACGCGCGCACATGTGTGCGTGAGATTTTCTCGCCTGGAAATTCTAATGCGCCGCGCGACTGCGATAAAAAATGAGCGGCTCGGGAAACGTGAATACATTACCGAGCGAGACGGAGAGCGGCGCCGCCTCCGCCGCGACGCCCCGCGCCGCCGGCCGCCTCTCGCGCTATGTATTTTACACTACTTTATATTTTGATTCCGTCTGAAAAAGGGACGGAGGCACGCGTTATGTATGGACCGTTTTATGCCTGTTAAATATGTATCTGAGTATAGACTTCGTGCGACTCGAATCCCCTTTGTGCTCCGCTGTGACGCTCGCCCGCTGAAAATGTATACTTTTACGACAATACAAGTAGTACGTATTCAATTTAGCGGTGATACGTACTCGCACCTGGGACGGCTCGGCCGATACACAATAAAGGTCCGGTTAACTGCCCGCTACAAAACTAGCACCAACAAATTGATCTATCATAAAACATGAGCTTCTAATAGTTAATTTGTTCCGGTAGCGAGGGTCGGTGTTAGATAGCAGGCGATAATTATAGCGTATAAAAAACACGCAATAGATGTGCGGCCGCCGGTGACAAAAGGGTTAAGTTTTTTGTGTGGGCACGAGCGGCCTTGCGTTTTTCTAAATGTTTTACGGCGTCTAACGCCGCGGCGGGGCCGGGCGCGCGCCGCACGCCGCGCACCTGTCCACACGCGGGGCCTGCTCCGCACGTGACCTGCTCGCGGCGACCTGTCCTCCACGCTTTTTGTCAGGTCTGCGTAATCTGCGGCAAGTTTTCGTATGAATGATGGTCTTAAAATGACCTTTCAGAAGGATATCCCGTTCGATAACTCGCTAGACTTCTTAATGCATACGTTGTTAATTAATAGTGAAACTAGCACTACCGTTAATTTCTTAATGAAAATGGCAAACGTGCAGGTGTTTGTAGCAACTGACCTCAATAATTCATATTATCATACGGGACTTTGTTGAATGAGTGCTTCTACTCGTACTAATAAAAGATCCTAAATAAATAATACAACAACTTTCATTATTAACATTTTTTTATATACAACTTAGAATGAAAAACAAGCTGACGGCCCACTTGATGACAGTGTTGTAGCCGTCGCCTATAGATATGAGCAGTACCATGGACATAACAGAGTATACTGTTTCGCCCATGATACCCCCATGCGTTGCCATTCCTGAGGACTCAGGTGTTATTCCTCTGTACCCTGTAAATTTATATCGCCATTTCAAACCGAAACACAGCCATGCAAACACAACTGCTTCACGGTTGAAACACATGGAACAGAGGTAAGCAAACACACAAAGTCTCCCTATATCATCAGTTTCTTATAGCAGTCTATGGTGGAAGACTGTATATAACAGGGAATACTAAAAGACTGAAATGACGACAAAAAAGATAGATTTTGAAACAATAATACTCTTTTCTAGGACGACCTTGACTAGAAATCTGTTTGTTTGTAAACAAATATGCTAGAAGGACAAATAACCAGAGGGAGACTTTGTACAAAAGTGGTTTGCTTGAGCACCTCTGTCTTATACATGTTTCAACCTTGAAGCAGTTGTGTTTGCATGGCTATGTTTCGGTTTGAAGGGTGGGATATGGCAGTGAATTTACAGGGTGCAGAGGAATAACACCTGAGTCCTCAGGAATGGCAACGCATGGGGGGTATAATGGGCAAAACAGTATACCCTGTTATATCTATGGTACTGCTCATGTCTATAGGCGACAGGTACCACTTTCTATCAAGTGGGCCGTCAGCTTATTTGCCATTCTAAGCTGCTAAGAAAAAAAATGCTATACTAGTGTTGCAAAACAAAACTTTCTTGTTATATTTCCACCTTATTGCTTTGGAAAATATGTTGAACTTCACTGATAGACTAGTCTTGTAGAAGGATGTCAATTATTTTAGTATCCCCCTGTATATATGACGAGATCTAGTACCATATATATGATATATGAATGTGTAACAATATTGTGTTCACTGTTGTTGCAGCGTCGGCGCGAGTCGCCGTGCCTGGCGTACCCGGCGGCTCGGGTACACCGCCTGCTGCGTACAGCGTACGCGCCCCCCTCGCCCCCCACACCGCCCACGCCACCATCGCCACCAGCGCTGACCAGACCGGCCAGACCTAGCAGGCCCACCGTCATCACCGGTACGTACCACTCACCATTCTTTACACTAGAATAGATATGATCTCGAGTCAAGACTTTGTCATGGTTTTGTTACCATACTAAAATAAATAAACACCATTGTACTATAGCAGATGTATATATTTATATACACCAGGGATCTTCTCTAGTTCTCCTCTAGTAATATATCCGGCTTCTAGTGCTCACGTATGTGCCACACTGACCTGTCCAACCACTGTAGTTTCTAACCGATATCCCCTCTGCAACTACAGTGTCCCTTCATTTTTCCTCCATCCTTTCCTCCATATTGCAGGTGGTGAATTTGACCAACAAATGCATTTCTATGGAGATAATTATAATAAAGGCAGGAAGATGATGGTGTTGTACTAACGTAGACGTATTCTAGAGTGGAAACAGAGATTTAACAGGAGGTCGTGCGAAAGTCTGCAGGTAAGTGTTGTGGCGATGATAGGATGGGTAGCTAAGGAAATGGAAATCGCTCTCAAAAGATGAAGTTAACGACTGATAAACCAATATCACTATACTTGAAGTTCCCACGTACCCCAGTTTCTGCAAACCGCAACGCAGCTTATTAGCTAGTTGACAACAGAAATAAATGACACAAAAGCCTTACATACTTTGCATGTCAAGACGGTTTTATACAAACTGCCTACAGTATACAAAGCGATAATATACAAGTATAAAATACGTAATTATATTTTTATTTTGTTAATAATTAAAATTTTTAAAGTGTTTAAAAATGCAGTTTTGACACCTGCGTTGAAATCTTTTCTACGTTTAGTGGCAATTAGCATAAAATGTAGAAATTTGTATATGTTGTCGCCTATTAATATTTGTGTGTAGATCCAAAATTTATGTATATTTTATTTAAATCATAATTTTTAATTATTTTACATTTTCTCCCGTGTTCTCTCGTATAACAAATTAAAATTATATTTCGACCGACTTCAAATAAGAAAGACGTGTTTTGTGTTGAATCTAAGTACCACGATTTTTTCAAATTTCAGTGCTCATTTGCGTCATTATGCCACGTATATACTTTAAATCTTTCACTATCATGGCTTTTTCTAAATAATTAAACAACAATATTGCTGAATTGTTTTTGAAAATTTACTAATAACATTTCCTATATTACCACATTTTGATGTGAAGAATTAAGACTGACTAGTTGATTAGAATTACTTTGTTTAATTTCGCTACAATTAGTATGCGTGCGAATGCCAACATTTGAGGATCAACTGCCTTCCATTCACAGAGGCTCTGCGACCTCTATTAGCGATCAATCTCTAACTATTATTTAATTTACACAAATGTTGCAATGCATGTTTCAACTCTAGGCAGAGTTCGCAGGCAGGTGCTTGCACGTATTTGTCCGTGCCCAGTATTGACGGTTCTACTCTTAAAACGTCCAAATTTTAAACCTATTATATTTATAAGTAACTATACCCCGTGGTTTTATCCACATACGTGAATTACTATATTAAATATATGTACTAACCTACCAATGTGGCAAATTTTATTCGTTGAGTAGTTTTTGTAGTAGTAAAGAGTAACATCCATCCATTTATCATTACAAATTTATGCATTTATAATATTAATAGAATGCCAGTTACACTTAGAAATACAATATGTCGACGATAGTTACAGGTGTGATGCAACAATCGATGGACAATCAATCGTCGCCGATGTGACAGTTTCATGTCCAATAAATTAGCATTGCTCGAATGACGAGGGGATAATTATGGCGCGTTGTTTACCTTCGGCTGCAAGAAACCGAACGCAATCGTAATTATGGGCTGCGTGAACGGTTTACTGGCGACAGCAGTCAGTCAGAAGGGGTGGACACTACTAATCCTGACTGAGAAGGTTGGATATCTTAATATGAAATGAAATGAATTTATTTTGCTAGAATGAAGGTGGTTTTAGATGGAAGAGGTTTACATTTCCCATATACATTCTGCCTCTATGTCGACGTGCAAATTATTAACAATATGAGAAATTTACATAATTCTACATTATATTTCCTTTCATTAGTCATACTATTTAACATATTTGTCATTTGGAGAGGATGGATAAACGAAGAATTACGAAAGAGATTTACCGAGCAAGAATGAATGGAGATGTCGGTAGGGGCCGCCTTAGACGGACGAATGTCGACCAAATAGGCGACGTGCTGAAGAAGAGCCAAATTAAAAGGTACCCGTAACCGGCGAGCGTGTATGAAAAGATTGATGAATGTGGAAGAAGCAAAAGAGGTTTGTTTGAATCGAAGCATTTGTCGTTCCATTGTTTCTGGCTCCTTAATGGGTGACAGGCGTGACAGATATGTATGTATGTATGTATTTAACACACACGACGTGTTAATATTCTGTTAATAACTGTAATGAAAAATAATATTTCAATAAGTTGATATACAGTGTCTCCTGTCGTTTTCATTTCATTCAATATAATAACAAGTATAAAAAATGCTAAAATTAACTCAGTAACTTCAACCGTGACAGTATTAATTAACTGGTAATCCTACTACGTTTATTTTAAAGAGAATAAAATGCACCGATTGATCACGAGATGTTTCAAAGAAACATTTAAAATATTTGCATTCGGAACTCTAAATGACGTCCATAAATAGATTTGCATCATCATCTTCATTTCAGACATTATTTGTCCACTGCTGGGCATAGGCCTCCCCCATAGACAACCATAAGGAATGGTCCTGAGTCACCTGCATCCACAGGTCCTCCGCAATGCATTTGACGTCGTCGCTCCATCTAGTGGGGGGTGTAAATAGATAGGTAGGAAGTGTAGATAAATAGATTTTGCTGTGCACTAATTATTAATTTTCTCTCCAAAGAAAAACATCTGTTTCAACAATTCTGTTTTTACCTAATGGTAAGCTTGTAGAGAATGCCATATGGCATTAAACTTGTCACTTGTACAAAGTTTTATTGTGCAAAAAAGAATATATAAATAAACAGTGACAAAATTGATACGAAATCAAAACAAGATTTTTTTATACAACTTAGAATGACATACAAGCTGACGGCCCACCTAATGGAAAGTGGTAACTGTCGCCTACAGACATGAACAGTACCATGGACATAACAGATATACTGTTTCGTCCATGATACCCCCATGCGTTGCCATTCCTGAGGACTCAGGTGTTATTCTTCTGTACCCTGTAAATTCACGCCATATCCCACCCTTCAAACCGAAACACAGCCATGCAAATACAACTGCGTTACAGTTTAAACACGAATGGGACAGAGGTACCAAGCATCTTTTTATTATAGACTACAAAATCAACAATCGTAATCGGCTTAAAATTTACGAAGATATAACATATTACCACATATCCACAAAAAACCACAGAGAGAAAGTACTTTAAATTTGATAGAATCTTGAGCACTTAAAACATATGTATAAATATATCGTCCCGTATGTCATATAATACATGATTTACAAATGTTATTCCATCTTGAACTTAATTATAGTTGGATTAGACATAGATCTGACTGACACGACGCTGCAGTCGTCCGCCGCGCCTCCTCACGTATGCATCGGATTGCATGCATAAATCCATCTGGACGCGAGCGCATATCATATTATCATAGTATGCTGCATATATTTGCACATGAAATGTTCCATTTACGACTAAAAACCCGCATGCCACTGTCCATCGGGTTCGCACTGTGTACATATTCATGCAATATGTAACAAACCGCTTTGTGCTATTCAAATAATGTCGCCTTAATTATACTGCCTATTAATACACGCCGCATCTGTCCTGTTGTTAGTTATTACAAGTGATACGAGACAAACTAGCACCATTGTAATGTTGTTTACATACAAGAATATACTTGACAAAAAAATAATCACTTCAACAGTTACAGAAATACATTCAGGCCATTATGTAATGCCAATTAAAATTTACAATAAATGCCTACGATGATTTTTTTATATACAACATAGAATGACAAACAAACTGACGGCCCACCTGATGGAAAGTAGTAACCGTCGCCTATAGACATGAGCAGTATCATGGACATAACAGAGTATATTGTTTCGCCCATGGTTCCTCATGCGTTGCCATTCCTGAGGACTCAGGTGTTATTCTTCTGTACCCAGTAAATTCACGCCATATCCCACCCTTCAAACCGAAACACAGCCATGCAAACACAACTGCTTCAAGGTAGAAACACGAATGGTGATGTTAGATGGACCTTTCATTAAAATGATTGCTGTACCCTCGCCGGGTTCGTGTTGAAACTGTATCCCTAAGTCTTGAAATCTGTATTCTTGCAACCTGAAAATGCAATAAACGTTTGATTTGAATTGATTTGAATTACACGGCTTAAGTTCTATCAGTTGCGAAACCAACTATTACAACTTGTTTAGTAAAATAATTGTGTAACATGATTATAAATAAAAAAAAAATATTATAAATCAGATAAATTAAGATTTTCTCCATTTTTGATATCAATTAACAATATACGAAGACGACCTTGGTGGCACGGTCAGAAACACGCAACATTCTATGATTACTGATTTATTTATTCATTCATACAGTTAAAATAGATGTAAATAATAGATAATTTATTATGAATTTTTTTAATAGGTAAAAAATTTACACACGCAGCTAAAAAAAATATTTTATCTAATTAAAAAAAAAATACGTAGAGTCGTAAATCTCGTGGCCGCTAATGCGTCAGTGGCCATTACCTGAGCTATTGATACGCATCTGTCTCAGGGTTTACATAACATTGTTCACTAATAACGTGCCACGTGGGTCATTTTTGTGTAAATGTTACTGTAAAAGTTCGCCTACGGTAAATCATAAAATTGTCCAATAAACCTAAGACTTACAAAGTCTTAATAAACTTCAAACTTTTACTGGTATTTACTTAATTAAAATTTAGAGATGCGATAAATTACATTACATCTTTATATTTCTAAAGTCAACATTCATAATTCTTGCTTGCCGTACTCTAATGTAATAAGTGGA